TCTGGCTATTTTCATTCTGTGAAGCTTTGTCCTAGGAGAACCACAAAAAGACCATCCGTTGTGCCAGGCATTGTTGCGGCTACGCTGAAATTCTAAGTATTAAAAACATTTCTTTCCCTCTGCGGTTCGGCGTGTGTCATTACAATGAGGAAATAACACCGACTCGCTCCCTTGTGTAATCTGACCTTTTCATCTTCTGTGTATAAATCAAATGTGGCTTGACTCCCCGCATAAATTCCACTGAAGGGTTATGACTTTGATTTCTTCATCGTGGAAGAGGAGTAGTGTGGTCGGACGGTTTATGAAACAAGTATTATTGGTGAAGTATCTGGGGAAAAGTGCTTCTATTCTGCGACGGACTCTCGCTTTGGAGGTCTGGCCCTGTTAGGAGGCAGCTGATGAATTGGCCAGCTGACATATGTGTACAGAAGCCAGCTCAGTCATTCTGTCATACTTATCTTAGACAATGGCGGTGATGCTGAAGGAATGCTCTGACCTGGATGCTGTCTCTGCGGAAAGGGACAAACCGTGTGGGGAGGAAGGGCCATTGTGGTTATCTCTAAGTTGATAACAAAAATATCACACTACATGATAGTTTGGAGCTTTGCTACCTCTCAGCTCCTCAGTCCAAACCAAAGTAAACAATGCTCAGTCAGAAATAGTGTTTGACCTCTTCTCAGGCCACCACACTATAATGTGTTTGTGCTGGCGTCTGTCTGAACACATTTTCTGCTGTGACCTTATATAAATAACTCCTCGCTGACTGACAGGTTTTTGGGAAGACTTTGTTGTGCTAACCTTTATCACTTGTAACTGGTATTATATTTTGTTTTGATTTAATATGAGATAAAGAGATGTAGACATACGTTTCCCACACAGATTTAGCTACATCAGGATGGGTTAAATGATTATTAGATAGTCAGCAGCGTGCAAAGGACAGAGGAAGGGGATTCCTGAATGTTTGACCTCAGGATATGCGGCCAGGAAAGAACAAATGATGAGATAGCAGGGTCAAAAAATAGCACCAAACATTAACGTCACAGGAGCTCAGATGTGGCGCGAAGACACGTGCTGCTACTGGTTTGGCTGGGTCATTGGAAAATAACATTTTAGCTGTCTTTTAGCTTTCGTTTCATGCATTTGACTCTAGATATGCAATTACTATTTGTAACTAAATAATAAAAGGCTGCGGAAAGCTTATATTTAACACTGTACATGACGAGTTCCAACCAGAGTTATTATAGTTTGGTATTTTTTATTTGTTTTTTTTTTTTTTCTTTTTTGTTTTTAGTTTTTGTTTTGTTTTTCAGAGTGGGTTTGCTCATTTTAGTTTAATTTTTAAAGATGTTTCACTTTCAGTATGGGTTTGTTTAGTATGAGGGTTTTCTTTTTAATAATATAGGGGGTAAGGTAGGGTGAGGTGAGGTGAGTTGAGGTGAGGTGAGGTGAGGCGAGGTAAAACTTTAATGTCCTCGAGGGGCAATTTGAGATACAGACTGTAGTCATGAGTACAACAAAACAGACAGTACAGTACATAACACACAGAATCCAGTATCCCACTCTATCAGGGGTAAATCAAGGACAATTAGGGGTCACTGCAGGTTAAGATAAGCGATAGCAGACAGGACAAAGAACGATCTGTAGCGCTTAGTGCTGCATTTAGGGAGGCAAAACCTCCGCCCTGATGGAAGCATCTGAAACTCATGGAGGGGGTCTTGCAAGTGTATGATTGTCTGGGGCAAGATTTCAGAAGCTCAGAACAGGTATTACAATACAAATACAATATTCTGTGAAGGCACTTAACTCCAATTCATGTAGACATCCAGTCTCACTAAAAGATAGTGATATTTCGTGTATATTTTTTATTTAATTTTAGTCAGTTTTGCAATCTTTTTCAAGTTAATTTTTTTTTTCTAAGTCCAGTTTTTATTTTCATGTATTGTATTTTATTTTATTTATTTATTTTTATAAATATTTTTTAATTTATTTGTCTTCTTTTCTCCCTTTTTTTGTCATTATCTTTTATTTTTTCCTAAAGTTGAGAGGAGGTCTGTTTGTATAAGCCTGTTGCTTCTTGACCTCTCCTTACGCATTTAATTTATTTTATTTTTATTTCAGTTAACTTAACACCTTATTTTAGCTGTTAGTTTAGTTTTAGTTCACTCCAATAACCTTATTTAAAATTTGTGCAGGTTTGCCACACAATAACACCATATGGTGCCTTGCTTCTTGAATATTCTCACATTTAACACAGAGCAGTTGGTGTGAACGCTCCCACCAGTCAGCACTCCTCAAAAAAATTACAGTTTAGAGTGTGAGAAGTGAAGTGAGAAGCTTTGTTTCTTTGTTTGTTTATTTGATTTATGCCAAAGTGCATGGTCTTAGCCAAAGTGACGAAAATATCATTTGGAGTTTGGTTTGTTCTGTTTGCTTTTTTGAGCCATTATTTGTGTCTCATTCATAATATTTACCACCAGGCAGTTTCTAATGCAGCTCAAGTTTGAGGAAAACACGATGGGACACAATGATACGTTAAATTGCTAATGCATGACTCTTTTGTTATAATTAAGGGCTCATATTCAAGGCTGTAGGGCAGGGCAACATCTGCAGTAGAAAAGCAATTGGGTCACTTCGAGAAAATGACTCAAAGTTGAGTCATGGGATCAGTACAGAGCCGGGGAGGAGAAGGGCTGTTAATAATTTCCTTCTGGAGGTAAAACAAAAACACAACAAAACAACAGGGCAGGGTAATTAATGTTTAGGTAGGCTTTAAACAGGTCTCCAGGCTCTGAGGAAGCTCAAGTTTGCTGCATTCCAGTGTGAGAAGAGGCCCGTTCCTGTACTGTAGGTGTCCAGTCATTAGCTTTGACCTTGGCTTGAGGAAGGACTGTAGTCATTTGAGCCGTTCACTTTATTACCCTCGAGACAAAAACAAAATATCTCATTGAAAGCCCAGGTCCGCTTGGATAACGATGAATAGATTCCATTTGTAGGGAGGGATCAGGCTCTGCGGGAGGGTGGAGATGAACTTGTCCATAATTGAAAAGGAAGGAAGCTCGACGGGAAAACAGCATGTAGGTTCATCCCTACGGTGCAACTGCAGAAACAAAAGGCCCATCGTCTCGCTCCCGTGGGGACTGAGGAGGTGGCCTGGAAAGCATGTTGCCATGGTGAGCGCTCTGTCACTTAGCTCCGAGCACTGTCTCGGTCAGGCGCTCTGTAGTGTACATAGGATCTGCCAAGAGTCAGCAAGATCAAAATCAGCCCTGGAAAGCACAGAGGCTCAGTTAAACCAACTACAGATGGCAGAGGAGCTTTTTCCTAAACAGGGCTACAAGTCAGAGAACTTCACAGCGCAGCATTTCTCGCAGCCCTCGATCCCCCACCTGGCATGTAAAGTGCTAACCCCCAGCGAATTATAGGCCCTTTACTGAGTAAAGGAAAGTGATTCGGTTGCTTGTGTTGTCAGATGTTTGGCAGATTGTTGTGCTTTGAGCTGCTAGAGATGTGGAGGAACTTTGGCGAAGCAGGGAAACTTCAGATTTTGTCATATTAAACCAGTTGGGATGTTTTCCTCCCGTTAAATGGAGGTATATTATCCGCAGAGGTCTCTTCCTCTCTGAAACAAACGGACCAGGTGATTAAAACTGGTAAAACCACTGAATGAAGCAGTTTCACATTACAGTGTTTCTCCTATACACTGTTCGGCTCATTGCAGATGGGCTGCTAGCCCAACACCAGCTTATGTGTGCTAACCTTTTATCTCTGATAACTTAAGACTCAGACGTTCAGGAGATCTTTACCGGGAGCTGAATTATCCACAGAGGTCTCTTCCTCTCTAAAACAAATAGAACAAGTGATTAAAACTGCTAAAACCACTGAATAAAGCAGTTTCATGTTACAATTCTGTGTTTCTCCTATGCTGTTTGGTTCATTGCAGACGGGCTGCTAGCCCAGCACCTGCTAATGTGTTGCTACCATTTTATCTCTGATAACTTAAGAACCAGATGTTCAGGAGAGCTTTACCAGGAGCCGAATTCTCCGCAGTAGTCTCCTCCTCTCCCAAACAACTGGACCCAGTGATTTAAACCAGTACAAACACCAAACAAAGCAATTTTACAATGAAAATAATTGTTTTTCCAGTGCTGTTTGGCCCATCACAGAGAGGCTGCTGACTATGGTGTCGAACGCAAAAAGTCGAAAACAAAAATGTGAATGGCCCTATCTAGAGCCAGTGCTCAGTTTGTCCGTTCTGGGCTACTGTAGAAACATGGTGTTGCAACATGGCAGACTCTGTGGACAAGGACCCGCTCCATATGTAGATATAAACGGCTCATTCTACGACTCGGCTCTTCAACGAAAACACGACAATTCTCAGGTGATTAAACACCAAAGAAATTATACTTGTATTACATTTCTGCCAATTAATCCCCCTAAATCTTACACACTGGACCTTTAACTTCCAATCCTGCTGCAAACAGCATTTTTTAAAAGTCTCACTGAAATTAACTTTTTGTATGAGAACATACAAACCACAATGAAACAGCAGCTACTGGGCATATTTTTCCAAATTGTTAAAAGAGGACAAAACTGTTCTGGCGCTGTCATCTTCAGTGATATGCTACTGATTGTGGCATAATGCAGTCCAGCACAACAACACTAACTACAGCCTCAATGTTAAACATGTTCTGACAGTGTCCTAACTGGCAGATCCTTTGTATTAGATTGCAGTGAATTGTATAGGTGTACCTAATAAAGTGGCCATGGAGTGCACATTCCTGTGTTTTTTGCGGTATGTGCATTTTACCCTCAAGACATCACAGTCAAACCAGTGAAAACTGAAAAGCCTGCCTCTAGTCTCTAGCTGGACCGTGTATCCTGCAATAGGCCTGTCGCTGTTTGCATTGCAGACGCCTCACTGAGTTTGGATCTAATGTGGCTTGACATCTGTCTGTGTGTGTGTGTGTGTCTGTGTGTGTGTGTGTTTGCTCTTGTCTCAGGGTGGCCAAATGAACTGTTTAGCCTGAGGACCAAAGATCACAGGCCCTGATTCAACAGCGAGGGAGAGAAAGGGAGAGGAGTGTGATCATTTCGCATCCATTCTCCAACTTCTCATTACACTATGAGCCGGGACTGAGGACGGGCTTCATAGTTTCATTTTGTGGTAAGTTTCATACTTGATCTTGGCTACACTTTTTGTTTACTTCTGCTTTTACAGGAAAATGTTTGTTGTGTTGTAAAGTTCATTAGTGCGCCACAATACATATGGCTTACATGTGTGGTTTTATGCTTGAATTTTACTAAAAGCAACATCAACAAATAAGCACAACTGTTGTATAAATCACATCATGATACAAATCAGGCACTGAGGTTATCAGTGGGTGCAATTTGGAGGTAAACGCAAACACAAACATGCGAATTGTGCAATTTGAGGACATCCATACGATCTGTGTGTAGGCTTAGTGACATGTGGTTCGACTTAGCGAAAAGTGCGCACACGTAAGAGTGGGACGGCTTCAGAGTTCATCATCTCACATGAACGGCCAGCCACAACACAAAGCACATGTTAGAGGGGAACAGCGCTAACACTTAGCTGGAAGGATTAAAGGCACCTCCTTTTTATTTTGAAGCGGTCTCTCCTCTGTTGCCATCAACACTCTCTTATGTGTCTCAGGGTGCAACACCGTGATGTCATTAAGCCAGGGAGATGGAAAATGTTCACAAAATGGCAAAGCAGAGGGGAAAAGCACGAGTCAGCAGGAAAGGGCTGCAGGGTGGAGGAGGAGGAGGAGGGGAGCTAAGAAAAGGTTGACGGGGGAAATACAGAGAGACCCAGCAGCAACACGACCCTGATTTGGTATTTCATGCAGGCAAATCCAATAATAATTTATTTTTAGATGAGAAACAGACTTGCTTCTTTTGAAGACAAAAGCTAGTGAGCGAGGAGGCAGCATGAAAGAAACACAGCCAATGTAGATAATAAGGAGAATGACTGTTCTTGTATCTCATCTGGTGCACGGCCCCACGGGTTTTTACTTTAAGAAAGACTTCCTTGGGAGTGTTTGGAGCCACGGCCACACACGGAATGGCTCAAAAACACAATGGAGCTCCTCAGACTGGCAGGATGCCAGGAGGACAGACAGCTTAAATGTCAGGGACACAAAGTCCAAACAATACAAGTCAACAACACACTGCTCTTTACCTCCGTGCTCCACAAATTGATCTGGGAGTCCCATCAGGCAGGAAGGAGTCCTTTGTGGCTACTTGGAAAACTGACTCTTGACCTCCTTTATGGAGGAGCTGTCATGGTTCAGAGAGAATGGCGGAGGCAGAGTGCCATGTGCCAAATGCGTTATGATGATCCCAGATGAAGCCAGTACTTTAGGAGGACACAGAGGAGCTTTTGTCTGACACTTGGAGGCCTCATCCCACCCACCCGAGGGCATATGAAGAAGTACCGTGGTCAGTGGGTTTGACATGCAGGCGCTGCACAGAATGTGACACTGGGGGAAGACTGCTCGGGAAATATTTCAAAGACTTTCAGCACCTTGAAGAGCATTGATATGCTGTCTGGTTGCATTATACACCAAAGTCAGATGAGTCATATGTTTGTTGTTATTCAGGTCTGAAGAAATCAAACGTAAGATCACCATGGATGTGAAGAAAAAAGAAATGGACCTCCTGAGCAACAGCATAGCTGCATATGCACATATCAAGGGTAAGTCACACCGCAGCCCAGTACGTCAACCTGTGTTCATGATTTCTACCCAAACAAATCAAGTAACAACATTTTACTGTTTCTGAAGTTGCTCATTTTATCCTTTCCTCAGCAAACCCAGAGAGCTTCGGCCTTTACTTTGTGCTGGGAGTGTGTTTCGGCCTGGTGCTGACGCTCTGCCTCCTCGTCATCCGCATCTCCTGCAAGCCGCGGACCAACGTGGCCCCATCCACGCCTGAGAAAAAACAATTAAAGGACATCAGTGAGGAGGATGAGGAGAGCGAGGACGATGAGGACGAAGACGGGGACGATGTCGAGGCACCTATCACTTTGCCCAGCACAGAAATCCCTGTTGGTAATCACACCAGCCAATCAGACGGGACACTGAGTGTGAACGTATTTACTTCAGCGGAGGAGCTGGAGCGGGCGCAGCGTCTGGAGGAGAGGGAACGTATCATACGCGAGATCTGGAGGAACGGCCAGCCGGACATCCTGGGGTCAGGGACAGGGACTATTGGAAGAGTGCATTACTACTAAGATAAACAAGGCTTCAAGGGAAACACTGTGAGCTCTGTGAAGGACGGACATAGACTTCTGGGTGGGCTCGATGTCCCTGAGGCCTGTGAGACTTGTGTTAGATACAAAGCAACATCATGGATGGCAATGATGTGCCAACAGCTTGGACAGAGCTGAACTATGTGATATTGCACTTCCTGTGTAGCAATATGTCCAACTGACTACATGAAATGAAACCAAGTGGTGTCTTAAAGACTGATAAAAGCGTATGGAAAAGATGCAGTATGAATGTGGGAGCTGATGGACACTTGAAGTCTATTGAAATGTATGGCGCTTATGACAAAAATGCACACATCTGTTTATGTATAAGTGGAAAAAGAAAGCATATATTTGGACAATGCATGTACTGTATTTTGCCATGAAGATTATTTGAGTTTGCGGGGAAGAGAAAACACTTTCAGGTGTACTGTTAAAGGAAATTACACTATTTGAACAAGGGTCAGATTAGTCTAACGTAAAGACAATTAAAATCTAAAGTCTTTAATTTATGAGTACATTAACCCATGTCTGTGTTTTCAGGGATAATTCCACCAAAGGAAATGACCAAATTAAAGCATTACGACGAAACCGTTTGCTGTTGTTTCTCTTCGTAACACCCAGATGTCAGACAAATATACAGCAGAGCTCATTTTCTGTCTACCTTTGGGCCATGGATTTATAATCAAGATAAAGACAGAGGGAGACGGGGGGAATTTTGCTAATAAGATTAATGGAAAGGTCATTCTTTGTCATTTGTTATTACTGCTTAATGTCTCACATGTGTGCCTTAAAAGGTTAGAAATACAGTTTTCTAATAAAATTTCTGGGAACTCCAAAATGACAGCAAATGTTTTTACAAGGCTCTGGTGGAGTCGGACATTAGGGTTGTTACAGATGTGTTGATAACAGAGAGGATGGGATAACTTGAAGTGAAATTAATTTCCTCTCTAAAAAAGTCTGCTTCAGGTAGACAAATCAGATTCTCTGACATATCATGATAAAACATATGGCTGAAATTTCTGTTTCTGTCACAGATTTTGGCGTAACACTGGCTGTGATGTACCCTGCTGTGTGTTCCAATACCCATACTACCATACTATATCCTCCTGAGACCCTGTGTCCTCAGTTGAAAACATCACATTTTGGGTTTACTTGACCTTCTACTTCATTTTACTTAACTTAGACCTGTTGTCCTCATTCGTGGACACTTTTTGTGCCATCTAGTGGTAGTAAGACCACAATACACTAAAAACAAGATGGCAGCCATCTCTGCCAAGTCAGTCTGCAGCCGATCTCGACACAAAAGTGGACCAGGTCCAAAACCTGATCACATTTTATGGTTGAAACTTGTTTATTTATGATAAATAACGTTTGTAGTTTCATACGGCAACACTTTTGACCAATTTTAGCAACAGTAACAACCTACAACGATGTTAATTAGGAAGTACTCATTTGAGGACATTGGGGCTTTATTATTGTTGACAATGTGTAGTATTTTGTACTTACTGAGTCCTACTGATCCCAAATAGCTAGGAGAAATTAAAAATGCATACCAAACAAAAGTTCAGGTCTCAGGAGGTTAAAGTATGCCATACATATTATGTAAAATGCAGTGTGCCAGAAATACCAGGATGTTCTACTACATCTGGTTCCATTTTGCAGTATAAAAGCCAGCATGCTTTTATGGCTATTCTGACCCACAATCCTCTGCACAGCAAACGTTACGTCACATCGACTGAGCTGCAAACATATGACAGCTGATTGACAGCTGATTGACAGCTGTCAGAAGTCCCAGTGATGGATGACAGGACATTTAAGTAACAGTGGGTAATAAGCAGGCTACAACATTTGTGTCTTTCTCTTTGTTTAGTTTTTACCAACATGGCAAGAAGACAGTACTAACACATCCCAACTTAGGGGTACAGCAACTTCACTTCACTGTTAAGCACAAGGCACTCACTCTCTCTCATGTCTCACTCATACCTGTCCCCCCAAAACAAGGGCAGGTAGGAACCAATTAGCTCATCCCACTGCACATGAAAATGCAAATGAAACAATATATAAAGTGCTATAAGTGACAATGAAATAATAATTTACCACCGACTCAATAATGCTTAATTCATTACTGTCTAAATATAATGTACCCATTTATGAATAACACAGTAACTTGTGTAATAAAAATAACCCCAAAACATAGTGTGTGCAGTAATGATGGTTACAATGGGAATATTAATTGTTTAAGTGAACAAAATAATCATAAATATCACAAACAACAACAGGACTTAACTATGAAAACAACAACGACAGATGTAATTTGACTGCTGCAATTATAATATGTTAGAATCTAGAGTCTGTGCAGTTATAACTTTAAAGTTAAACTAAATGCATCACAAAGTACCAACAGCAGAGGTCTCCAGGTTCATGTCCAGCCTCTGGAACTCTGTAAGTGGCGTTTGTTTTATCACCATGGTAACGGATATAAAAGCAAGAGGGTCACAGTTCAGGGCGTAATGTTATGAGACAGTAGCATGTCCCGATTGTGTGCATCCTGCGTGCAACAGTATACATTTTAAGGGCAGCTGTGGTACCTACTCGAAGTAAAAAGACAAAGTAAGATATTCGGAACGCACCCCGACAGCCTATGACGCGCACCCTCTGCATGACGTTGGCCCATCTAATCTGCAACACCTGCTCACAGGTTCACAGCCTCTCCTGCAGCTTATGTAGTATTTCCCACTACAAGTCCAGTATTGTCACTTTAAAACGGTTTTATGGATTAAAAATGAAGTAAAACAAATGTCATGAACACCAGCTGTCAACACACCACTTCAAGCCTGAGTTTTTCTTCACCAATTGAGGACCGCAACGCCTCCCTGGTTCCCCGTAAGATAAGTTGCTGCTCATTCCAACGTGTGTATTGTGAAAGATGTCTCGCCTGTGTTAAATTATCGTTTATGTGCTTGGCAAATGTTTTTAGCCACGCTAGCAGCGACCGAGACTCATCATAGTGCTTGGTCAGTATCTTAACAACTATGTCATTGATTGCCATGATATTTCGTACACATTAAAGGGGGGCACCACCTAATTTAAGAATTCCAGTGTGCTATTAACATGGCCCAGGAAAGTTCATTCAATATCTGTGAACATGAGTTAGTCTCTCTGAAAGCCAGAAACCATTTTTTTCATAGATCCTTTTTTAATTGAGAGAAATTCATAAAAATATGAAACCAATTAAGTATGACAAAAGTCAAGAGTGTATGCAACAGAATGTCAAGAGAATTACATGAGATTAACATACAAAACAACAACAACAGCAATAAAAAAAGAAGAAGACGATAAACAGGAGTACAAGCATACGGAGGTAAAAAAGTCTACTCAGTCAGAGGATACCTGTAAAACTTCAATTAATAGCCTGGGCTATTATTTGCTTAAATCGCTGAACTCAACAGGCCTGTATTTGGGACAGGCGTCAAAATCCTTCCGAGACCCTGGGTCTTCATATGAGCACATGATTTTAGGTTTACTTGACCTTATACTTCATTCTACTTAACTTAGACCTGTTGTCCTCGTTCATATACACTTTTTTGTGCCATTTAGTGGTAGAGCACAATACACTAATCTGTGTAAAAACAAAATGGCTGCCATCTCTGCCAAGTCAGTCTGCAGCCGATACCAACACAAAAGTGAACAAGGTCCAAAACCTGATCACATTTTATGGTTGGAACTTGTTTATTTGTGATTAATAGTGTTTGTAGTTTGATATGGCAACAAATTTGACCAATTTAAGCAACAGTAACAAGCTTAGACGCTGTTAATTAGGAAGTACTCGTATGAAGACTGAGGACTTTATTATTGTCTTGTTTAAGGACATTGGGACTTCATTATCGTTTCGTCTGAGGACGTTGGGACTTGATTATTGTTGACAGTGTTTAGTTTTTTATACTTATTGGGTCCTACTGATACCAAATAGCTAGGAGAAATTAAAAGTGCATACCAAAGGAAAATTTGGGTCTCAGGAGGATATGGGACAGGCCTTTAATTTCTTTGATGCAAAACTGCTCAGCAAAAACTGGGAATAACAATCAAATTGTTAATTTAAACCAGTATGAATATTACTTGTGTCGTTAGAGGTGTTCTGGTCCCCTTGGTGTCCCTAAGGAGGAGCTGGAAAGCATTGCTGTGGAGAGGGACGTCTGGGGTGCTTTGCTTGGCATGCTACCCCCATGACCCGCTACCCCCCATGACCCGGCTCCAGATAAGCAGATGTACAACAATGGAAATTATTATTCCTGTTCACAATGTGAAGATATTAGTTTGCTGACATTAGCACTTAGCATTTAAGTAGAGTTGATAGCATGGCTATAAACTGGTTGTGTGTAGATGGTAACCACAGATTTGCAAACCTTAACCAAGTGCTTTAGGTGCCTGAACCTAACCAGGCCAAATACTGTAGCTTTATAACACCATAAAACAATGAGACAATAATGTTTTGAAGAAGCTTGCGAGAGTTCTGCAAATCTAGTGTTACCATTGAGCCATGACCCAGTAAACTTTACGCCTTGCCAAGTTGTCTGTCTTTTGACCCTGCTGTCTGTCTGGCATGTTTTTGAGTCCGCTGGCTGCTAACTTCTGCTGCTATGCTGTTGATATTTGTCTGCTGGCTGAATTTGCTCTTGTCCTGTTCAAACTGTGTATGCCTGCTTTCTTGTCTTATGCTGTGTGTATTCGTCTGCTGACTGAATTGTCTCTTATACTGCTGTACGCTGGCTGTTAATTTCATCTTTATCCTGCTGAAATGTGCTGGTTGTTAATGAATGCTCTTACGCTTTTGATATGTGCTGGCTTCCAATGTCTGATAACTATGTGCAGTGTGTTTGCACTGGTAGTAGTTGTGAATAACTGAACCTCTTCCCTGATGTGACTCAGTTGGTTTTTGCTCTTAGTTGTTTGGCATGTGCACTGCGAGGCTTTGATGCTTTTTATAGGGGCTTAATTGCTTTTGTGGCATATTTCCTCCTGTGTTGTTGACATTATTTTTGTATGGTGCCTTCTGGCTTGTACATGTAACTGTTGTTTTGCACACAGCCTATTTATATAATAATTTCACTGACTTCATGAGAAACACAGCACAGCTTTATCACGCACAAGACAGCCATTTTCACATTTTCGTCATATCTGGCTTAAAGTAATGTTTCAGTGGGGTCTGTGTGATAGCGTTCTTCTGTGCTGCTGCTTCTACAGTTACATTGATGTTTTCACGCACAAAATATTCAGATTTTGCCAAAAAAGACAAGGGACCTTCTTCCTCTGGCGTATGTCCTTAGAGTTTCAGCTCCGTTGAGGCAAGCCAGTCCAGTGTTTCATCGTCCAGGTCAATTAGACTATGATCGCCATTCAGTGGCTGGTGTTTGGGGCAACTGGTTATTATGTGTTCCACAGTTTGTAGCGTCAGTGAAGATTCTCAGTCATCCAGGTCATGGTAATCGTAAGTGCTATATCATAGGCAACTGGACTTGCTTGTGTATTCTTGAAGACGTTTGGCCTCTCACCCAAGACGCTTCTTAAGTTCTAACTGACTGGTACGGAGTTGCAGGCTTTAAACCCTGTGTGGGTGGGAACCCTTGCAGAGTTGTAGGGGTCACGTGAGCTCTTAGTTTCAGAGAGTTTATAGTAGATCCCTGCATTGTCCAAGAGACCACATTTTTGCATTGCTGCCCCGAGGCGTCCTTCGCCTGTCCTCAGTCGAGCAAGGCTTGTCCATCGCTTTCGGGGCAGGTGCTGGCCGGGAATATCTGTGGGGTCTTCAATGTAGTGGTTGAGACTTGATAGTCCTGCTAACTTCCACTGGTCCCACCTTCTTGCCTTGACCGGGCAGGCTTAGAGGTATCAGATGGTGTTGTATGGAGCAGTTCTTGGGCGTGTGTGGCAAAGGGGTGCCAGGACTTGAGACTGGCTGCTTCTCGTCTGCAAATGGACCTCATTCACCAACAGTGTGTACGCACAAATCTGTGCCTAAACCATGTGTACGAACGTTTTAGTAGAATTCTGGGGTTCATCAATATTTTCTTTGCTGAATTTGTTCTGCTCTGCAAACAGATTTAGAACTTCCTCAGACCATATGTACGCACAAATGAAAACTAAATGATGCATGTAAACATAGTCAATGCTGCTACACTCAGCTGTAGTCATGATACTGATGGTAATCTGCTGTTAGCCTCTGCTTCATAGCATTTCAAAAGAATGCTGTCTCAGTTTATTCACGGCTTGGAGGTGCTTTGTTAATTAATGGCCACACAGGAACCAGGTGCTCACTAGATAGTACATTGCCTTCATTGTGTGTGGTGTCTTGCGGGGGAATGGACCACACAGAATAAAGTCCACATAATAGCCGGTGTCAGGCTCTGTGTCTAATATGGTTTTATGGGGAGTGTATTATCCTCACTTCCACAATTCTGCTATTCTGACTTTGGTGACAGGGTCACAGCTTAGGTGGCCAATATCAACTCTGCATTCACATAATACTTCTGTTCCACTTCCATGTGAGATGGAAGATGGAAATACTGTTTGGCTGCCAATAAAGACTCACAGAACAATGATGATTTGCCCACACTGGATGAATGTTTGTGCTGGACATTATCACATGTCAGTCTTTTAGTGGTTTGAGGATTTACAAGTTATAAAAGTATGAATTCTTGGCATGTCAATAAAGCCTTACAAAGCAAAAAATATACTTAATACTCATCAGTGTCTGGCATGTGTTCACATTCTTTCTGTTGGCCAATGTGGAGTCAGAAACGGCTGGTGTAGCGTTGCTCAAAAGAAGGTCTTGGTTGGAGATGGAAGCAGGCCAGGAACTTCTGCTAGAGTCGTCCTCAAAGTACAAACTGTGCTGGAGGAGCAGACAGGCTTCAGGTTTGCCTTGGGCCCGCTCTGTTTTCAGATGGAGCCCACACTGAAGTCTTCTCTGTTGAGGTCTTGGAAAAGCCTCTCATGTGGTCAAGGGTTTTCAGAAATCAGTGGCGCTGATGGTGTGGACTCTTTGAAGCAACTGAGTAATTGCATTTGTATAAACCTCTTGTGAATGGCGTCTACCTCCAAAATCGTAGGACCCAAAACATATTTCGCTAGACCCACGATTCACTATGTTGAATAGTGTCTTTTTCATTTTATAGGATGTAATTAGAAGCACATATCTCAGCCTTATGGTAATTACAGTTATGAAACAATACATCAATAAAATTAAGTGAACATCATCATGAGGGAAATCCAGTTATGGAAAGCCATAAATCTGAACCCCAACACAGCATGGGAAAGATGAACATAGTACTTCAGGCTGTCTTTTGTGGTTCTTTGGCTGATTCCAGAAACCAGCCTTTACAGATAATAACATCTATTGGCTACATTCATGCTGCTGAACTACCTCTTTAATTAATCATATTTTGTTGAAATGGCCAAAATCAAACCTTTTTGAGTCTAACATTGCACAAACCATACAGTTCTAAGGGTTATGATTCCCCTCAGTGAAAGGCTCCTTCTTAAAAAGCATTTTAGATATGCGGCAGATTTATTGACATTTCCGATGAGGTCACACACATGATTTGTTTCTGCATCTGCCCAGCTCTTTTCTTTGACAGAGACGAACTGTTCTTCGCCAGTTCAGCTCCTTTTTCTCTCTTTCTATTTTTAGCTCAGAGGGGGTTTTTTGTATTTGACCTCTGAGCTCCAAAATGCTTCAGTTCTCAACACTCAGTGTTCCCAACAGTTCCATGTTACTTGTCTTACATTCCTCCCATATCACAGTACACTGAGTCTAATACTTATGCAAGCAGTGTGTTGTATTTTATAGGAGAGCCTGTAGTGTCTGCAAAAATGTTGGTTCCTTAGCAGTTCTTGGGCATGGGTTGAGGTGCTTTATAGCACTGCTGGCACACAAAGAACTTTTTAAGCCTCTATATGGTTCTTTAAAGGTTTCTCCAGTAGAGAACCTCTAAAGAACAAGACAGGCGCTTAAAATGTTCTCTACAGGTTCTTCAGCTTAGTTTAGTTTAGTTTATTGGGGAAAGAATAAAAATGCCACATCAAAGTAGCCTACAAACAGAGTATTTCCAGAGGATACTATGTTAATGCAGTGGCTGTCAACCTGTTTGCCCTCATGTGCACAGAAATATTTCAGGATTTAAAAGGTAATGTATTGTGTTTTTCAGTAAGTCTTTCATACAAGCATGACGGAGACAAGTAGGACATGCTCCTAGATCAACATCCCACATTCCGATCCCTGACCAACGTTGCAACTAACCAATCAAAATGGCAGGGATCATGGATCAACACTAGCACTGCAATCTTGCAAAAACTACAAAAAGTGCAAATCACCAACCAGTCTTTGCAGTTGAAAAATGTTATTATCTTTAGTCTTTAATATTAGTGAACAATATTCTAGCCTATTAGCAAGCTAACTTGTTAGCATAGCCTACCTACATAACTTGTGAATGCTGCAGTGGCTCATAAAGATTTCGTTCAGTGTCACTGAGAATTTTGTTAAATTGTACTGACTTAAATTTGGAAAACGCAGCTTAGCTCTCAATTAGCACGAAGGAATTTTGACAAGTACAGGAGCAGCACGCTGATGATGTCATAGGACTGTGATTGGTTGATCGCAATGTTGAAGTTCATGGCTAAATCATGTTGTGCTTTAGTGCACCATTCTGGTTCTGGGTCAAGATTTCTAAAGAAATTACTAATGATCATTCACTTTTTAAGAGTGTCATATAGAGTAGTGGTTCCCAACTGGTGGTTCGCGGTCCAAAAGTGGTTCTCGGGCCCATTCTGGAAGGACCCCATGTGATGTAGTTTGTAAAAACCACACTTTATTTTTAAGTACAGTGAATTTCCACCACAGAGCTTTTATTTTGAAGCTACTTGACAAAGACAGCAAACTAGCTTGATGACATGGCCAAACAGACGTATGCTGCTAAATGTATTAAATGTGTGGACCTTGAATTAATGACTAAAAAGAAATCTGGACCCTGTGGCTGGACCAGTTGGGAACCACAGATGTAGAGGAATATTGACTCGTCCAAGGTATTATCTGACATCATTTAAGAGCCCGAAGGCGTACAATTTTAAAGCATTATACTGCTATTTGGTATCTCTCAAGGGCACTATTTGACAAAGGCACCGTGTAGCACCTGTAAAAGATGTGTGCCATATAGCACCAAAACATGATTACAAGCCAAAGAATCACTTTGGGGTACTTTATAACACCATTTCTGTTAAGCTCCCTCATCATTACTGACATTATTAAATATTTTAGAGGCCCTTCAGTGAAAAAAATCTTTTCTTTAGTGTGCAGGTCTGTGCAGAAAACAACATTGACACTTCATATCTTGCAAAAATTGTGCAATATAAACTGACCCTTTTGTTTGTTTAGTTTCATTTATTTCACCCCTCGTCCGAGAGGGAATGTGCCCGTAATGACCGTTATTCAACAGTTTTTAAAAATAGTATGTTCCCATGGAAGTTTCAGAAGCACCCGGTCCCTGATGAGCTCCAGATGTTGTCCAGATGTGCTCTACAGTGGGCAACACTAGTAGGCTTAGACAGAAGCGCACTACCACCGCCGCCGCTATACCACTTGGAGCCAAAACCGGATTCTTACTGTAAAGACGGCGTGGTCAAATTAAATAGCCCTCCCTCTGGTGGGTGTAAAGAATTTGTTATTAGTTCTCTTCCCACGTTCTCTGCATCCATTGCGATGACTCACTGTGTTCAGAGTTTTCAGTGTGAGTCAGTTTTTCTCAGAGTGACACAGGATGCCTTTTCCACTTAACAGCAAAAAAACGCAGCTGACCACAAACTCTGTTTAACCCCCGAAGTGTTTTCAAGATTTTGTTTTATAAAAGCACAGTCCATTAACATCAGCCATTTCTGTGTATCTCAACACATTCACTCTGTTGAATGAAATATGTTGACTGAAAAGTTAAGCACTTCTCTTTATGTATCATAGTCATACACTGCCCCCCAGTGGATTTATGCAGCATTACATTCTGGTGTAGAAAATCACCTGCATGTCAGCCCATGTTTTCGACAGTAGTATCTCAGGTATGAACATTCATGTAACAATGCCCCTTTGGATGACTTATAATTATATTTTAGTTCTTTGCAAATAACATCACAATATATCCTCCTATGTACAGCTGCATATATTACACACTCTGCTGAGGCATTAACTGTGTAAATGTTAAAAGTACAGTAATGATAAAAGTAAGAAACAAAACAATTTAAAACAACCCACTTAGGACCAATATTTGTGATTTCCAGCATTCAAATATGTAAAAACTTTAACAGTACATTAAAAAGTCTTTTGAAGAATCAAGTTTCTCAGGTCCACTGCAGGATGAGCTTGATCCAACTATACTTTCTAATTCAGCCCTCGCTCTGGAGTCTGCGGTGGGAGAGCTCACTTGTTTTCTCTATCCCCATTCCACGTCAGAAAAATGTTCATCATGTTTAAAATTGCAGAGCGAGAGCCTGCATGGCACAGTGTCAGACAGACAGACAGACAGATGGACAGCTGTCTGCGGTTGGATTAATGCTTCATCCTCAAGCTGTGAACTTCCTCCTGTATGGGAAAGACATTTTTCAACAATCAATTATACCATGGTCATGATCATGATCTGAACCACAGCGTCTCTATTCTTTTCTTGTGGCGATATGCGGCAGGCGTAAATCACGAATGCATGCAAAACTCTCTGACCTGCAGTGCCTCTCGTTTGCTTCTCTCCTCCCTCAGTTCTTCTTTCACTTCCTGCATGTCTCGGCTGATCAAAAGACATAGAGACAGAGACGATGAGTTTGCTGACATGTCTAAATAGGTCAAGATGCACACTTCCTGTAAAATGAAGGTTTATTAATGTAGATTGTTGCTTTAGTTGTGGGGATAAATGAGATCGAAACAGAAATGGCCTTGATATTGATAGCTCTAATGAAACACTGAAATAGAAAATATATTTCTCTGCAATCTGCTGCTCATTTTAGCTCATTGTTTAGCCCGCAACTTTTCTGTTTTGATTCAGTCTCACCAATCTTGTAGCTCAGTTTTCAGCTGCATCAGGCAGTACTCACTATACTGGAGCATTGAGCAGCTGAAGAGCCAGATATTTCCCTCAGGATTTAGTAGATGTTAGCATCACACAAGAGTTATAATGGACTTAACTTCATCAGGTGGCCAGAAACATGACTCCAAATGAATGATAATTTTGTTCTGTAAGTGCCTCATTTGTAAATAAGTAGTTATAATAACAGCAGTTTACCATATCATCTTAAAAGGTAAAGATATGTCATCATGCGTTTACAACTTGTTGCTGATGCCCCAAGTGGCCAAAGAAAATCAGTTATTTCAAGTGCAAATCCAAACATTCAGGCCTGACGTGGCATATGCAGACACTCACAACATAGAAAAATGCACCGGACTACACTGGGTATCACTGTGAGAAATGAACGATTGTTTTACAAATACCTTGCCTAAACATATAAAGCATTGTGCCTTGACCAGCTACAAAATCAGATGATACATTTATAAGGGTCTCTAGCTTGATTAACATCAGCAGACTGTCTGTTCCAGACATTAGAAATAGTGCGCTTCAGCAGTGCAGAGAGGACATTAGGTTTGTGTTTTGGGTCATGTGGCATCTCAGAAGCTTTATTAAGGCACAAAAACAGAAGATTGACATCTCCAGACTGAATCACAAATCCTAATCGAGCAAATAAAATGTGAGCTTGCAGACTCGTCTGGTTCCCAGGCAACCAAAACAGGGTACAAGAGGCTAAGATTGGATTCATTTTGTTTTTTCAATAAGATAAAATTACAGTTCATCTCCAAAATGTTAAAATATGTTTGGAAATAGGACACCTAGAACATATCAGCATGTATAAATGGATGTCCTCACGAAACATTGACATGAGCAAATAGCTACGTCCATACCTTTTTATGTAAAAGCCCTTAAGGCCCTGCAGAGTGCACACATCATCACAGGTGTTTTGGTTACTCTTGATTAGAGTAACTGATTAGACCTTAGTAGAGCTTTGTTCAGCCCCAACGAAACGTGTATTTAAATGGGAACGATGGTGCATTGAAAACCCTGTTGTGTTACACAAGCACACTGCCTTTTAATATAACAGGGTTAAATTGAATTCAGAAGGGCTTCACATGAAGTAGAACCAAAACTGTATGTAGAATGAGTGAAGATTTACTATAATTCATTTTATACACGTCTCTGCCGATTGGGTAACACCTCTATCACACACGAGAGGAAATGTACCTCAAAGCCAGTTGCACACCGTTTTGAGGAAATATGTCGTTCAACCTAGAAACTCTAGCAAAACGATGCACACTGTTTTAAGGTTGAACATGCTGTAATGAGGATTACATGCTGTTCCAAAACTCTACGGGCCAATAAGAATGTAATGGTACGTTCACACGTGCAAATTAGCATTAGCGAATATTCGCCTCCCATTCACTTGCATTTCATGCGAGGGAAGGGGCGAATAAAACATTAGCTTTCGATTGACAAAGCAAATTGGCATCTTCACATTGCGTGGGGCCCAACTTTGGTGACCTTTGACCAGTGACATTGCAGCCTCAACCAATAGCAAAGAAGTCTGTGTGGATGATCCCACTTGACTGTCACTGGCTGAAGGTTCAGAGAGAGCCAAGATGGAGGAGACATTAATTGTTGACGTGTCTAACCAGACAGTATTGTATGATATTGGTCAGCAAAATTACAAACTGCTCCACATTAGAGAGACAGGCATGGAGTGTAAAAATGGTGAATGTACCAATAACATCATATTGTGGGGTATTCATGAGCAAGCTAGCTACCATTCATTTGTTAGTTAGCAAGCGTGTGAGTCACATCTGGCACTGCCCACATTCAGTACGACTATCAGCTCAGCATGTGATGGTCACTGGCCTGCACTCACTCATGTGTGACCGTACCTTTGGTTGTGACACAACGGCACTAACAAGAAAGTAAGGGGGAAGTCACTCAGGCCCGATAAGCTTTTTCAAAATACATGAGCCTGTGGATTCACTTTAAAAGCTCCTCTGGTTGTAATCACATGTTGACTCTCTGAATAGCCTCAGAAGTTCAGTTGCCAGTGAATCATACGTCTACAACTTCACACAGCACGGCTCATGTTTAGCAATCAAGCCTCTGTGATGTGTCGTATCAAAGCAAATCAAAGAGATGCAAAAGATGTAACACAGTTTTTTTCTGGATGGAGCACTTATGTTTGGTACACAGTTTGTATTTCTGTCTTAGGTTTGATTAGTCACTTCCTGTGTGTGTGCTGGGGACCACAAACAACACCCAGAATTTATTTAGGATAGAGGGTCTGTCTACACGTCCTCCATAAGAGTTCAAAAGGACAAGACAGTTTTATTCATACTGTTAATGTTCTCAAATGCTCACTTTAAAAATGAGTAATACTCACTCGTGTCTTGTCTGTAGCAGCTCCAGAGCCATCCTCAGCTCTTTGATCTCAGCTTGCAGGCTTTCCATAGTTGCTTCTCCTTTATGGGTCACAGTCCTGCCATCCACAACTACTTTGGGTGGTGTTGGTCGAACTGGAGGTGGTGTTTTGGGCTGAGGATCAGGCCTTGCAGGTGATGGCAGAAGATTTTCTGTACCCTGCAATAAATCGGGAGGTTTTGCATGACGTTGCACAGACCTTTAATATCTTGTATGTTTTTTTTTTAATTGAATAAACAACACTGTGCTGTGTTGTATCTAGAAAGTCGATGTCACAAACCTTTTGCAGTCCAGGTAATTTCTCTGTCTGGAACTTTTTTGGCGATAGTTCTGGTTCTTTCTGGTCAGTGGCGCCCTGGGCCTGCAAAGGAGCATAAGACATACCTTAATGGCAATTATCGCTAAAAGACTTGGACGGTATCACAGAACTACAGTATACCTGGGTATTTAGAAATCCCAAAGCTTATGATTTTTAGTACGGTCAAAAATATAGGTGCCGATGTCTCTATGAAACTCATTGTGTAGTGCACATCAGGTGCCACCAGAAGTCAATCTCTGGTCTTTGCTGGTGGAACAGGCAGGTGCTGACTGACACTAAGCGGTGGCAATAACGTCACAGGACTGTAAACAGCCACTCAGCAACAGCAGAGAAAGAGAAGGAGGAAAAAACAGCATATCTTCACATCTGCCTCTGTGAATTAAAGGTTTATTTTGATCAAATCAGAGTTGGTGATCGTTGGAACAGAGGACTTAAGCCCCGTTTCCACCAAACACTTTCAGGACGGTACCTTTGGAACCAACAGTAACCCTTCAGACATGGTACCTAGACCATAGTGTTTCCACTGCAAACACTACTCTTTCATGTGGGCGGTGTTGTTGTCACTCACTGCTCCGTCCAGCACTCACTGTGTTTCCTCCTTTTTCAGTCTGCACGTTGTTTATTGTCCACAGAACGAGGTTACACACCGACATTTTCATAACAAAATAAATCAGGCTGCAGTGAGAGTCTCTCTCCATGGGATATTTAAATATAGTAGGTTTGTGCATTTAGTCCTTCTCAGGCAAGCTCAGGGGTTTAGTGTTGCCGGAGCCCACAGCTTTTTGTAGAGATTCACTCATTAGTAAAAGTGTATGTCATCGAAGAGAGACAATAAAAACGAAAGTTATAGTCAAAGTTGTTGCATCAAAATTTAAGGTGTGCTGATGGATTCACGTCGTCAACTCATGCATTGAGTAACATTAGAAGTAAATGTTCCACCTTAAAAGTCGCCAGCAGTTGACACAGTGAATTAAGTTATTTTTTCTCAGACTCCAGCTGCTGAGAGAGGCAGCAAAACATCCTTTTATTTTATAGTTACAGTTTACTAATAAAACTCTCCACTGTATGAACAGTGGTTACATGAGCCTCAAAACCAGCCACAACTCAGCCCTGAGCAGAGTGACCGTCCGCTATTGACCAATCAACAGACTGCAGTGTTCACAGCTCCACCTTTTAGTACCAGATCTGTGTGCTAGGTACTCCAACAGAGTGGGGACCAAAATGGGGACAGTAAGGAACGTTTCCATTGGTACCATCCACAACTTTTCACAGCGTACCGAACTGAACTGCACCGTACTGGACTGCTTGGTGGAAATGGGGCTTCATTAACTAGATGATTCACAAGACTAACTAAGATGGTTTTGTTGAGTTTTATTTTGTCTTTGTGTGGTTTTAGTGAAGTGTTTTTCACAATAGTTAATGAGGCAGTGAAGCTAACATTAATCTTGGTTTGGTGAAAGGGAGAAATGTTATATCAGAAGGTGTACGGTTGTATTTCTTTGTTTATAAGAACCGTAAGTGTAAGAATGTTAACTTTCTTGTCATTATGTGAGCTTATATTGTTTGTTTATTACACTGAAAAAGCTAAGAGAGTGGGGGTAGCATAGCCTCACTAATAAATACCATATTTATATACCAAGTATCCCAGGGAAGTTTCAGGAAGCTATGAAAAAATATATACCGCCCAAGCCTAATTGCTAATAATCATCCCTCACAGCCTGCCTTAAATACTTTCCTTCTCCAACTATACAAACTTAACATCTGGCTCTGTCTTCTGGGGCAGCCAAGTACAAACCATAAAAGGAGACTTTTGGGAATGAATTCTTTCATTTCCCAGAATGACTTTTCATAAACCCCTAGAGATCAGGCCCAAACTTGTTGCTTCCAGTGTAAAAATGGCCTTTGGGGCAGCTCATGAAAACTTGGGACGTGTCTATCACTAGGGCCTCTTCTCTTGCACAAACACATCTTGTGGCTACATTGCTGTATGATCTACTGAAAGTGCAAGTGCAGACATTGTTATCTCTCTCTTACAGTGATTTCTGTGCTGAACCTTTGTGCAAAATGGTTGAAGAAAAGCTCCTTCTCTAGCATTTACTACTCGTGGCATTGGCATTGGAAATTATACTCAGTTATTGAAGTTGTGCTTGCAATAAGTTGACACAGAAATATGTCACCACAGAGAAAAAAGAACCACAAAATGTGTTCAGTTCCATTTGAATAAAGTAAGTGCCTTTACCTTGCAAGTATGCACAAGATAAAGTAGGGAGTTGTCTCATTGCTGCAGTGATAATCTTAAGTTGCAAAGGTCATCTACAGAAATGACGGTTAGCAACACCAATGTGGTTTAGCTGGTTGTCGGCAGTTCCTTCCTCACTCAGGCTTTTATTGTGTAACTCCTCACCTCTATATTGTTTATACCTCAGGCAAAAGTTGCCAAATTAAAAGTGATAAATCAATATTAGTCTTTCACTAATGTGAACATACTTGTGTTGCTGAAACGAGGCCTGATGGCGGTCTCCTCTGCGGCGGTTTGGCTCTGTTTGCTGTAGGATGGCACAGCTTCTCCGTCTGCACATCTACTCCGTCAAAGCTGTTGGTTTCTTTCTCCTCCGCTTGTTTTGGGGCAACAGGAGCCACATCACCATTGGTTCTGGTGAAAATAAGAGTTTAATGTTAAAAGATTTAATTTTTGTTGACTTGTTATTGAAGTAAATGAAAAGTGGGGAACATAAGGGGGGAAGTTCTCTCAAGAATTCTCTCTTGGTGGAAGAAAAGTGGTGCATAGGCTGCAGTTCACGTTTTCAAAAGTGGAAAAAAACACTTTGAATGCGGTTTCCAATTTCCTAAACTCAACTGGGTGCAGGTGCAAAGCATGGCAGCTGAAGGCTTGAAGTCTCTCTGTATGTCTTAGTTTGTACTGGCACATGTTTCACTTTCACAGCGTATATGCAGTTATGGCAGATCCCCAGAGTCGCAGCTCAACATCAGTAACCTTTTATGCATTGTTTAAATCCGATATGAGGTTTATAAATAATCAGCCTTGAGGTAAAGGCCTCGAAGATTGAGCTTTTAAAAAACATTAAGAGGGAAGCTGGATAGTTGTCCTGTTAAGAGCTATTTACTTGGAAACAATTTTCAGAAAAAAGCTTGCTCTCCATTAGCAGCCCCCTCAAGACAGGGCTGTTTTTGTTTTCCCCATTTTGTGTGAGTGTGTGTGCCTATTTGTGTGTGTGTGCTCAGGAAACAGGAAATGGGCTGCTCTCGTCTGTTTAGGCCCGATCTGACTCATCCCAGAGTTTCCACTGAGCTGCTAAAGGTCGGGCATCCTGGCATTCTTCTTTAAGGACACCATGGCAACCGGTGGCAGCAACCAAAACCTTTAACATCTAAAGGCTCCGCTCCTGGTGCCAGACCAAAGAGGAGAAAGTGTTCCTGACATTTCCTAAAGTCCTTTTTCTTTAGAAAGGTTGCAAATGAATCACTATTCAAGTCTCTGACTTGGAAGACATATTCCCCTGGTAAGTCTTTGGTGGCTTTGCATGGAGATTAGTCGTGAGGCACGACATCAGAGGTGCTTTGGCATCACTCACTTGGGTAAAACCTTGGTGGGTTTGTCTTTGACTGGAGGCGGGATGGGCTTGTTGAGTGTTGGCAACTTGACTTTGGTTGGCGGGTTGCTTCTCAGGTCCTTAACCTCTGGTTTATCATCTGTAAAGCAAATTCAGCATGTTACTCCACAACAGTATTTATCTTTCCAAAGGAGTGTTATATAATAATGTTCTGATTTATGATAAAAGTGAATGCTGTTTGTACCTTTTGTCTTTGCTGGACCACCTTTCTCCATCGCTGAGACTTCCGTCTTTACTGAAAAAGCAGCAGTGAGTGAACTGTTACCACAAAGTTGCATTTGATGTGTAAATAGCACAGCTGCACTTTGGACAAAATATAAAGTAGTAGTATTTTTTATTTTCTATTTAACCGTTATTTAACCAGGAAGCCTCGTGGAAATTGAAAATCTCTTTTACAAGAGAGATCCGGCCAAGGGAGCAGCCAATTACAAGGCAACAAATAAAAATACAAATAAAATCATCAGTGGATATAAGTGTTTCTAATTTTAGATCTTTTTGAAGATTGTTCCATCTCCAAGGATCTGTTAAAACCCGGGGTACATTTAAAAGCAACCACTTGGAGGAGCGTAGCTGGTAACTACCCGAGCTGACAAACAGAAGGTGCAGAAGTAGGCTGGACGTTTGCCCAATATTGCTTTATTCATTTATTTTATTTGCTGCACACAGAAAGCAGTGGCATCCCATGGAGTGCTGCAGGGATGACATTTTTTGTAGGTTGACGCGGAAGTTAGTGTCGCTCTGGTTCCCTCACCAAAAAGCCAATGATTTCCTCTCGATTTTGGACTCACAGAAAATAAACTCTGTGGCAAAGAAGAGTTTATGTTATGTGAAACTACGTCACCCTCGCATGACTTAACATTGCCACCACAACAAGGGTGTAAAGCCATGTTTGATGTGATGATTACGTTCTGTAGTCTCATTTGGCAACTTGTTAGCAACCACCTTTTAAAGACGCTTTAAAGCTTCAGAATTCTTGAGTGAGGTATTTACTGATGTATTTTATGTCATAGAACAAAACGGGAAAGTCTCTTAAGTTTGTGTCAACCACAGACCTTATTTCAAGCATCTAACCATTCAAAAAACCCAATGACTCCAAGATGAGGTGCGAAAATGTTAACTCGTTTCCGGATTTTGGTGCTCACTTTTGCACCATCAGGCAAATATTGTCACTTTGAGTCCATCGGCCAGCTTAAAAAATGTTTCCCTAAGCATCTACTTTGAAGGTGCTCTCAATCTGCAGGGTCCCAGCTGTCATTGTGTGTAACAACATGAATATAGAGCAGGCTGTTGCTAAAATAGAGCATGCACACTCAGCAAATCTGCCTTGGATAAATACAACATAGCTTTCGCACCTAATGCAGGTGTAGCGTCTCCTGTAATATATGTAAGCACTGGAACACACTACTCATTCTCCTTCTATAGACATCAACACTAGTGTTAATGTAGTATTGTCTTCATTGTCATGAGTGAACTATAACGCAGCTGATGTATTATAGCAGTCAAAGAATTGTATTTGTTTACCCCAGAAAAGTGGCGGAGAAAAAATACGACTAGTCTTTTAATTAAGTCGTTATCTATTTCATAAGCAGTTGTATGGGAAGGCAAAGATGTGCACATCACTGGAGCAGACCCAGTCACAGCTGTATCCAGCAGCACTGCAGCTCCCAGGGGTCTCAACAAGTTCAGCAGGGACAGTCACTCTGCCTCAGCTCATAGAAAATAAAAGAAAGACAGCCCTCGAGAGGACTCTGCTGTGGAGACTGCAAGAATAGATGCTTGAATTATAATCCTCAGTGAACTGAAGTTAATGTGAGAGACTCCTGTTTGCCATGCAAGTCAAGTGTTTATCTCAAACACAGGAGGCTGAGGGACCTGGTTACAGCTCTGCTGAATAAATATAAACACAAATCTGAGACGTAAAACTGCTCTAATGCACAGCACCAAAACAAGCACAATACTTTGCATAACACTCAGACCCAGAGATGAGTAATGGACACAGGAAGCCTACCTTGAGTGTTCAAAGCATTGTGCAACATTCCCTCTCAGCCAAACCATCCACACAGCAGTAGTAGCTCAAGTGCTGCTTCTTGTGCTGGTTGTGAAAATCCCTGTGACAGAGCTCTCCTCCACCTCCCCCCCCTCCACCCCCTTGTTTCCTCCAAGACTCCTGAACTGTGTCACATGACCAGTCTAACCATCCCCCATCTCACTATAGTCTGAGACTTCCTGTGAAATTCTTCTGTGTGATAGTGTGGAAAAAAAAACACACGCTGTAATGACTTTAATGTGGTGGCAGCACAAATCATGAGACTATGTTGATGTTCGGTTAGTTCAGGTGACATCTGTGAAAAGCTGAGCATGTTGTACAAGACTGTTTCACTGACAGCAGATGTTTTGATAAGCATGAGTTAGACATCTAAATTTGTATTGTAATCTGAATTTGATAGTAAAAAAAAATTTGCAGAATTTGCAAGTTCGGTGACCCGCAACACTCCTCAGCTGAAACTTGACAGGAAGCCACATCCTGCTTTGTGTCTTGCAGATTTAACCTCTACATCTTCTTGTTATACATGCTATTAATGTTCCTTCACTCTTTTTTTATCACCAAATTTAAAAAAAGTAACATACTGGCTGCAATAACTGAGAATATATAAATAATTACAACAACAATTTGTTATTGTGGGTCATATCTCCATTTACGCAGTATAGTAAGATTTTATTAATTTTTTTTTTTTTTTAGTGGATCAAATTCTTTTTAAATTAAAACTGTGGGCTCGACGATACTGTCTATCTGGTTTGAATAAAAACAGCATTGTGTTTTCAACGGTTCAGTTTTTCTGTGAGAATTCTCTGAGAGGCAGCACCTGATGTATGGTGAGTTTACTCATCGTGCACTGCAGGACAGAGAACTTCTGCCGACCTAACATGGTGACTGGGTGAATACTTGTAGTCATAACATCTGAACGGGCAATATCACAGACAGCTTGCTTTCTTAGTCAAAGACATGTTGGCGCAACTCTTGAGTTCGGATCATCCGCATGTTGGGTGAAAATCGTCTCCTATTTAATTTTTTTTTTGCGTTTGCATAATTTTGTTTTCGGCACAACTTGCAGGTATACATTAACCAATACCTGCTGTCAGTATCACAGCACATGTCGATATCAGGACAATGACACACAGTCAAATAATTTGAGAAAATTTTAAACAAAATTGTCTGTCCGTCTCTCAATAACATCATATCTCATAAAATACAGCTCTACTGTCATGTCAAAGACAGTAACACACATAAAGAAGGGGCACTACATATACACCTGCACCTTTTGATCATTCCTCAACCCTGACTGTCCCTATCCCAACGGCTCTTTCTCTAAATTCTACTATAAAAGTTCTCAAACGTGCACTATAGGGTAAAAATAAAGACAAAAAATATAGATAGAAATTAATTTTCTAGCTAAATTGAGTGTCTTAAGCACAATGTAACCTGCCCCCTTAATCCTAGCAACAGAGAGCTCCACAGATAAAATCTCTATTAAAGAGTGTTTCCACTGCGAAAAGAAAGACAGTGTGGTTGCTTCCACATAACATCTTTTAGCAGCACTGCATGCTTATAAACATTGCTGCCTTTGAGTGTGATTAAAGTTCTGCCCTGAATCATCATTAAGTAGCGTACATGCTGGAGAGCAGTCAATCTTTACACCCAAAATCTCAGATAGACATTATTAGTTATTTGCTCCCAGGACCTTTTAACTGATGGACACTCCCACATGATATGTAAGAAAGTCCCCAACTGATTCAAATCACACAAGGTACAGTTTGGAGAAGTAGATATACTCATCATGTAACGCCGCTCTGGTGTCAAATAAGCTTGAAATATGGAATTCAAATTCATTTATTTATGATTAAAGTTTTGTAAGGAATGGGAAACATAAAACGTAGTCTTTTCTCACATGTAATGAAGAATAAACAGGGTGTAAAAACTAGGCCAAACTCAGTGGATTCCACACTAGTCATTATGAAAGTTCATTTTCAAACTGTTACGTGTCATTGACTAGATGCAGTGGTGAGAGAAGTACTCAGATCTTCTACTAAAATATTATTAGCAATACAACAGTGTGGAAATATTCTGTCACAAATAAAAGTCTTAAAAAATCAATAAAGTAAAAATACATATGTATTATGTTAATCAAAGTGTACTTAAAATAAAAGCGCTCATGCAGAATGACCCATTGATGTGTCAGCATTACTTTAATGTAGCTTCTGGTGGAAGTGGGGTTAATTGTAACTACTAAATAGGGCTGCAACAATTAGTTGACTAATTGATGACTAATCGACTATTAAAATAATCGGTGACTATTTTAGTAGTCTACTAATCGGAGTCATTTTTCATATAAAAGTACCCCAAAATACTCTAATTGCAGCTTCTTAAGTTCAAATATTGGCAGCTTTACACACTCTCCCGTGACGGTGAACTAAAACCCTTTGGCGTGAGTACGAAACAAGACATTAGATGACATGATTTTGGAGTTTGAGAGAGACAGACCGATATTTTTCAACATTTTAACAAATTTTTTGATAAAATGACTAGTTGACTAATCGAAGAAATAATCGACAGATTAGTCGACAATGAAAATAATCGTTAGTTGCAGCCCTACTACTAAATATCAGGGGTGGGAATCACCAGAGGATCCACGATACAATATTATCATTATACTTAAGTCACGATACAATATTATTGCGATTTTAAATTTGTTGTGAAATGTTGCGATAAAATCTATTGGGATTTATTACCTTTTTTTTTAAACTGTAAATTATATCACTGAAGGGAAACTTTGTCAACATCTGTTTTATCTAATAAGATAAAGTTTTAACTTAGTTCATCTCAATTTAGTTCACCATTCACCAGTTTTTTGCAGTAAAATGTATGTAGTGGACTGAAAGAGCAATTGATTAAATTATTCTAGTAGGCTACTTAAAGTATAACTTGTATTTGCCATATTAATTATTTATATAAAAATATATAAAAAATTGAAAATATATAAAAAATTGATATTGCCACACAAAAATATCGCGATACTATGCTGTATCTATTTTTCCCCCAGCTGAATCTATAATAAGTCGTCATATTTTGTTTGTTGATAATATTTTGTAATAATAAGTTGAATCTGCAGAGTAACTAAAGCTGTTAAAGTACAATATTGGCCCCTAAGTTGGAGCACAGATATAAAGTAGCATAAAATGGAATAACTCAAGTACTAAGACGTCAGAACTGTTATGCAAGTGCATTTGATGAAAATGGCACTAACATAAGTATCATTAACCAACGGTGTGAACTGACACACTGAATTATACTGAAACAGCTTCAAGTTGCTTCAGCAGAAGTAATGACATTGATCAGGGGACCATTTTGGCTGCTTTTACACCACATGCTGAAAATGACCCAACCAACATTGCAGCCAATTTCTCCAGCTGCTAACAAAAAAGTATCCATCGCGGTCCAAACTGTCAACACACTGCCAGGCTGAACACAACAGCAGCCACAAGCCATGAGTCACAAGAGAAGCTCTAAAACATGAAGTCTAGCTCAAATGTCAAACAGCGCTTGTTCCTGTGCTGCTGTGTCTGATCTGTTCTGAACGTGCTGTTCTCTTACCTGAGAGTTTCTTCCTAATGGTCCGTGCAGGCGGTTGGCTTGCGGTCCCAGACTAGAGGAGGAGAAATGGAAAACTCAACAGGTTGGCAAGTACGTCCCCTTGTGAATTAAAGGCATCTCAATTATACACACTCTTTCCACTCAGGGAATTTTCAGTGAGTAATTCCAAAACAGAGGATGTTAAAGAGGATCCTGACTCACTGCACGCGGGCTGCTAAAGTAACACAGATACCAGCCAGCTACAGATAAAGTGGCAGTGTTTACTTTGCATTTTAAAATAATAAAAAGTATAGAAGATATTAATTACTATAAAGCACGTCCATGGTTTCATGGCAGCAAAATGCAGTTGTCAGATCTTGAATATGGAGAAGTTGCAGTCCAACAAGGATATTCTTGAGACTGTGTGTTAGTCCACTCACTTGCAGGCCGTCCATTGGTGGTATCACCATGACAAAGTTATCAGGAAAGAAGCCACAGCATCCGTTTAGCTCTCCCTCCCACCAGCCTTCATCTTCTGTTTCCTTCAGATGGAGATTAAAGAGTCACATTCAAACATGCCAGTGTCCTCTGGGACGCCAAATTGCTGCACAAGAGGTTACCTAACGGTCAAGCAAGACGTGACTGCCTTATTATCAATCTCGGAAATCTTTTTTTTTCCTCTTCTATGATACAATATAATTTGGCCAACTGCCACATGTACGTCACTAAAACACGGCGTCACCTTGCACACATGATTTCCTTGAAAGTGACACAACTGGTTTGGCTGGAAGAACACCATAATACACCTGCAACCACTTTGTGAGAGAAGCAACTGCACCCGAAGGAGTCTTTTAAAAGCATTATGTCATGGGAAAACATGTTGGAAACCATGCCAGAAAAATAACAATAAAATGTGCTCAGACCTTGTTCAGTATCACAACAACGTCTCCTTTTTTCAGATCCAGCTCATCTGCTGCTTTGGCCGTGTAGTCAAACATGACTTGGCAGCACTCGGCCACTGAGGAGACATAGTTTCAGAGATAAGAGGGTTACTAACCTTATAGAAACTGAGTATTACAGAACAGTGTGACGGGATTAAGAGGTTTCAACAATGATGACTCATCTTATCAGCCTTGTATACACCCTTTACAATACTAAGTCAAAGACTAATCGGATGGAGGTTGTGACGAACTGGAGATAAAGGCTGTAAACCTTGATCCCTGTGGGATATTTCACTCTGATGTAATCCTTTGTGAAGTGATTAATCAAGCCACATTACTGTAAGTATTTAAAGTAAACTCCACCCATGAACCTTTCAGGTAAAATTACAGGAATAACTGCATATCTGGGTATAAATAAACCCGTCTAGTTGCCTTTGAAATGCTGTTCAAAAAGCCAAAGTGTCAAATGACTCAAGCGTTCAGTCCATAAATGTGCAAACAGTTTGAGAAGTAACAAAGCTTTATAGCAGGTTGTTATATGACTTACCGTTTTTTGCTTTGTTCCTCACACTTGCCCTTTGAGATATCTTTTTGAGGACAGAAAGTACATTAAGTCAAAGGTCAACAATTCGTAGGTTTCAGAAACGTTATTTATGCGTGACGTACCTCCTTGTTGAAGACTGCGTCAGTCAGCTTGGGTCTTGCCTTGCTCTCGTTGTACTTGCCTTCTGTAAAAGCAGTAAAAGACTGTTATCGACAACTGTTTTTTTAAGAATAAATGAACAGAAAAAGGATTTGGCTTCACCGACCTTTAGGCGAAACAAAAATTTCTTTGACGAAATTTGACGGAAATGCTCCCACTTTGCCATATTTCACCCCCATCCACCATCCATCTTCAATCTGTCATGTAGATTATGTCAAGGAGAGATGGCAAAAAAGTATGTGAGAAAACATTTAAGAGAAAAAGTACAGACACACTGTGCTTATTAACACTCAAGCTAAAACATTTAACACCCAGTATACATTCCAGAGATTACAATTAATCTGTTTCAGATCTGTGATCACATGTTGGCATGAACGTCTGCGAGAACTCTCAGAACTAGTCAGATCAGTTCACAAGCTGTAATATGTCTGGGACACATGCTTTGTCAGCCTGGCAGCGTGATATAAAGAGAGAGAAAGACCCGAACAATCAATGAATACCTTATGAAAAAGAATCTTTGTTTACCGAGGGCAGACTGGCAGAGCAAACATTTAACCAACGCCCAGATTTACATACAATACTAAGGTTTTGGCTACTGAGCAGCTTTATCAGCCAGCAGGAAGACGTCTGAACAGTAGGGTATCACAGCTCGTTTGCAGAGTGTCACTGTTTGGTAAGAGGGGACTCTACCTCTCTGATGATCTCTATCGTCTCCCCAACAACCAGACTCAGCTCATCTTCATTCATGGCGCTGTAGGCGTACGCCACCTCGCATTTCCTCGTCTGTTTCATCCTCTTTGCTGGAAAGACAAAGAATCACCACATCAACACTCAGATGTAAAGTTTATAATCTACTTTGAGAAGCCAGAGCTCAGTAGTAGTGTGTTTAGCTTGATACGGAGGCAGAAGTGGTCAAGTCTCAACAGGATAGTGCTGACACTGCAAAGCACTTGACGCTTCTAACAAGTCTAATCCCTCAAAGACGCAGTTTGTTTTTATCCGCTCCCTTTTCATACATTGTAATTAGGATTTGTGCAGTGAGGATGTGGTAAACATACATTTACAGTCGGCTCGCTCGCTGCACTGTCTTGCTGAGTGCATGCACCACACCAGCCTCAACGTTTAACACTTCTGTTTTCAGACCAAGAGAGTGAAAATAAAAAAAAACTACCTGTTTTGAATGTCAAATATTTTCATGGTTTATTTTGAGTCAGCTCAAGCTGCAAGCTGAGAAAAGGGCCACATGTTGCAATATGTGCAGATGTTTCAACAGGATGATCATTCTTTCTATCTGCTTGACTGACATAATGTGCCTCATACAGCGCCAGAGGGCAATTACCTCGGGATCTTTTACACATACAAATTTAAATAGTGTAATTATATGCAAATAAGGAGCGTCAATCCAAATTGAGGTATGGACCATTTGAAGTAATTGGTACCATTTCCCAAGAAACTGATATGAATCAAAAGTTCACTCCATTGTGGGTAAGGGTTAGGGTTACAGTTAGGTTGTTGTGTTTTTGTAATGTTAATTTGTTTTGAATAATTGGCTGATATATTGGATCCAAAATGCTACAATAATGCTGCAATAATAAAACAACATTTACAGGACTTGACAGAATGCCAAAATGAAATCTTACACATGCTATTTGGCTATTTTCTGCTCCCGAGGCTGATAACAGAGAAGAAAAGAGTGCTGAGACTTTATACTTAGCATCGTACTTTTTCTAATGCTCCGTGGTTCCCTATTGCTGTCTCCCATCAGATAGACCGGCACCTCCTGTGATGAAAAGCCAAAACGAGGCATATTTTAGCACACGTGGATGAACATAAACACACAGTACAGTAAGAGCACACTGCTTTGGGCTATAAAGCGTTAGCAGACCTTGACAAAGTTGGCAGGGAAGATGCCTCTCTTTCCCCTCAGCTCCCCCTCCAGCCATCCCTCCTCGCTGGCTTTGGTGACGTTTTTGACCACATCCCCCATCCTCACTGTGATCTCATCTCCCATGGTGCCCTCGAAGTCGATCAGCACCAGCACCTCTGCAGTGGCGATGTAAATGGGGCAGAAAATTAAATTCTTTGCACAAAGGCTGGAGTGTTTGCAAGTGATGTGTCCTGACATTTCAAAACCAAGACAAACCTCTACGTTGTGGAGGCTGTGCCCTGTGCGAATGTACAGTACAGTATGACAGATAAACCATACAGTTTTATTCTGTCCTTAATCATTTCTTACAAGTGGAGAAATATGTTTTTTAAGTCAGTGTTGTCCTGCAGTGTTTCAAGAGCTTAACAGAGGGGAAAAATCAACAAATGTACAGAAAAGTATAGAAATAGATCTCTGGGTACATAGAAAAAATAAGATTACCCTCATGTTTCAGCAAACGCAAATGCACATTAATGCTAAGTCATGCAATGGTATCCACATACCATTGCTTTACTTTCAAATGCATGCCACATTAAAATACTTAAAATCAAATAAATAGCATTTTGGGAAGACACATAACAACTCAATCTTTTCGATATTTTACCTTTACACTTTGTTTTACCATCAAATCTCCAGAATCTCAGCAAACAGACAACCAAGAGCATTTTTTTTTTAAATTCCACCAGTGTACAAGAAACAGCAATAACACCGACTCACCCATGGTGTCTTTCTGTCTTTCTCCCTCAGATTTGATGTAATTCCTTCACAAAGCAGCAACAAACTCCCGAGCAGAAAGAGAACTGAAAGAGTGTGGTTGTGTTGTCTAAGACTGAGCGAGATATGGCAGCCAAGGCCCTTCTTCCTACTTGTCAAACATTAACATTGGGCAACTTTTCCTGAGGCTAGTCACGGCAAGTCGACAGCAAGGAGTAGGATGGGTCATACAGTGGAGAGAGAGAGAGAGGAGGAGAGACGAGGAGAGAGGGGAGGGAATGGGGGAGAAGAACAGGTAAGACAGGTTTATAGTGAAAGAACAAAGCATGTAATGAGTAAGACTTGACCTGACGACGTAGCTTATCACAAAAATAATAAAAGATAAAAGTCAGCATTCACAAGCACAACAATGATATTAAACCCAGATCTGCTGCGCTCTGTCATACACATTGATACTGTGTGGTGTGAAACAACTACAGACTGAAAAATTCAAACACAGTACCTTGTGTGTGTTTGTTGGGAGGAATTTGTTTGTGTGTGTTGGTGTGTGTGCACGCATGTGTGTGTGTGTGTGTAATGTTGTTTCTGTACACCCCTTGAGGCAGAGTGGCTGGCCAGTTACAGAAAGCAGAACCAGGGAGTGCAAGACTGAATTTCACAAACCAAAATAACACGTGGCCAAAAACAGTAACAACATCCGTTTTTATTTTTTATTTTATTTTTTACATAGAGACAGAAGTTGTTGTAGGGGAGACTGACTGTGGTTGTAACAGCACCACTCTCACCATGAAGGAATGAACTAAGTGTCCTGTACCAAATGTTCTTGTATGAACCTTCATACATAGCTGTGTGAAGAAGTGTGCAGATGTTACCACCAAAAGACTGATTATCAGGTATCAAAGTCATGTATGGAAGCAAGTTTATATTTTGATCAGTACCGGATACTGTTAAAGTTATTTTATTTTTAATTTGTGTTAGATTAGCGAGTAGTCCTTGGGTAAAATGTGAGGCAGTTTATCTTCGTTCAGTTCATAATCCAAGTATTTTTGTTGAGCTAAAGATTAAATGACATATCAGTATCAGCACTCATTCCATTTTACATAGATGAGTTTGACATGATAAGTTCACAGATGCAGGAAAACATGAACATAAACATGGAAAGAAGACAAAACGTAGGTGCATTACATCCTCCTGCGACACTGTGTCCTCGTATGACGACATCACATTTTGGATTTACTTGACCTTATGCTTCATTCTACTTAATTTAGACCTGTTGTCCTCGCTCGTGGACACTTTTTTGTTCCATCTAGTGGTAGTAAGAGCACAATACACTAGTCCTTGTGAAAATAAGATGGCAGCCATCTCTTCCAAGTCAGTCTGCAGCCGATCCTGACACAAAAGTGGACAAGATTCAAAACCTGATTGCATTTCATGGTTGTTTGTGGTTAATAATGTTTGTAGTTTGATACGGCAACAAATTTGAACAATTTTAGCAACTGTAACAAGCTAAGACACTTAATTATTGTCTCGTTGAGGACATTGGGACTCTAATGTCGTCTCATTTGGGGACATTTGGACTTTATTATCGTTTTGTTTAAGGACATTGGGACTTTATGATTATTGACAGTGTTTAGGTTTTTATACTTATCGGGTCCTACTGATCCCAAATAGCTAGGAGAAATTAAAAATGCATACTAAACAAAAGTTCGAGTCTCAGATGGATATGTGCATAGCGTATCCTCACTTGGCTCAGACATCAGACTTGTATTTTCGCACTAAACATCTGACCATTACAGGTTAGTGAGTTAGGTCTTGGTAGGAGCTGGTTATTAGTGTGTAACTTACCTTGGTATTGTGGCAGCTTGTAACAATGGAGCTGCTTGTACTGACATTAATACAAGTTGGAGAAGTTAGAAACATTGCTATTGGTAGAAAACAAATAAGGTTACTTTGTGTAAAAATTACTGTTACTTACTATTAAATTACTTTTGTTCTTACACAAAAAGTCAACGAGTCATAAGTGCTGAGACAAAATGTGTCACGACCTTACTGGATTTCCCCTGACTCAGGCTCTGTCCTGCTTCCCTTTGCTCAAGTTAATATGTTAGGTCACTAGGCCAAGACATTACTCAAGTACTTCCTCATACTCCCTAATAAATGTTAGGGAGTGCTCTCAGTCTACTCTGTAACATTGTGTAGAATAGGACGTTGACCTTTTGTCATGTAAAAGTTTTTTTGTGGACAGAGACTGCTAACTGCTTTCTTATAGAACAGCTCAAATTATAATTTGATAAAATTGAAGTAGTTGGAACAGTCTTTCTGGGCCTTGAAAAGCTTTTGATACTTTAAATCATGATATCCTCATTCATAAACTGTCTAAACAAAACGTTATAGTGGTTTCTCGGTCAGACAGATACAACTGAACAGTGTGTTATCATCAATAATGAGGAGTCTTCTCTTTTACAGATGAGAACAGTACCTCAGGGTTCTGTTCTTGATCTGCTTCTTTTTAGCTTATACATTAATGACTTACTACAATCATGTGTTGGAGCAGGTTTTAAGATGTATGCAGACAAAACAGTCATACATGTATCTGCTAAAACTGCTCTAGCAGCTTCCATCATGTCACTTTCAATCCATATCAGCATGGTTTGAAAAATCATATCTCACATGTTAGAAAACGGTGTCAGTTTGCTTTTCTGCCAGGGCTCGGTCATCAGCAGAAGCTATTGTGTTAAACTAAATATTAATGGACAGCATATCAAACTGGTCTCAGAAGTCAAACACCTCGGCCTCATATTAGATTCACAACTTAAGTTTGAGAAACATGTTAAGATGGTGAGCAGGGTTGCAAAAACAAATTTGCATACTTTTAGACTTATCAGAGGCCGTCTCCAATTTCATGCTACAAACAGTTTCATGCACGCTATGATTTTTTCCACATTTAAGTTTCTGTGTAACCTCTTGGTCACCAGCAGCATCTACAATAAGCCTCTTATGATGATATGCAATCAAACAATTAAAATTTTGGACAGGAAACAGATAACAGCACATCATTGCCATGTTCTTCAGAAACTAAATATGTTAAGTTTTGATAGTTTCATTAATTTTGCCAGTTTCAAACTCATCCATAAATGCCCACACAATCAGGCTCCCCAGGTGCTCAGTGACCTCATGGTTCCACTTAGAGTTTCTGGCTCAGTAACACGTGGAGCAGCCGATGGGAATTGTGAGGTTCACATGTGTAAATCCTCATTTGGATAAATAGCTTTAACATGTGGAATTCTTCACCTACAGAGCTCAAATTGGATCCTGATTCAGATCACTTTAAACTCTTTAAAAGAGGACTCAGTAATGCAGTCATGAATAATGTGGTGCTTCCTATTCTGTGTTGCTAATTATGTATTGCAGTTTTATGTCTTCAGTTTAATGTGTTCAGTGTGTACTTTTATTGTTGGTTGTACTTTGCACTGTTACTTTTATTCTTGTTGCTGAGTCTTTTGTATCCTAAGGCTCAACTAGGGACGGGCATTGCAAATTTGCTTAGGCCATAAATGATGTGGTGTGTGGCATTTATGTATGCTACATACTTGTCCCTATACAAATAAACATTAAGTAAATAAATAAATAATACATTAAGTTACCGCTGTTAAAAAAAGAAAAAAAATACACAGAATATGTATGAGCTAGGTTCAAACTGCCCCATTACCTGATTAAAATTGTACAATGCATTAAAAATGCTTTTACAGAATAAGACATTTAGGACCAGAGGCTTGGTGGACAGAGTAGGAAAGTTTTTTTTTTCTTCAATATAATTTATGTTTACAGTAGGTAGCCCAAAAATGTGGGAGGGCGGAAACTGCAAATCAGGGTGGAGGACATGCACAGGTTCTGCACAGATCATCTGTCTGATAATCGTTTAATTAAAGGCTACCTGGAGACTCCAACGACTTTCAAGGCTCTGAAGCAGGTGAACTTGGCCTTCTGTTGAACAGAGTGGTAACCAAATCAGGATCAGTCGCCACACCCCAACATGCTCTGAACTACAACATTAAAAAAAGAGGAGCTGCACAGTGTGCATGCTTCTGAATACCTTTGTCAAAGCCTCTAGCAAGCTCTGTGCAGACATTTCTCGCTCTTCTTGCTGTTGTCTCATGCACAGGTATGTACATGAATTAACCTAAGATGTAACATGTTTAACATAGCTGTGGTGAGTGATCCTGGAGGGTTAAGAAAATACTGATTAGGGCCAACAAAAATGGTCTGAATCTCATAGTTGCATATGCAACTGCGTGAATGATTTTTTTAGTCCTGAAAAACAAGATGGCAGTATCATCAGAAGACTTAACCATGTAGTGTTTGCTGTGCAGCTGGGACGCATTCATGTAGTACAAAGTAGGGATGTCCTGCTCAAGTGTTTTTGCCCCGGATCCAGTTAATTTAACGCTGAGTATCTGCCAACACTGAGTCCCGATCCTATACTTCTGTGTTCCTAGATAGTACAGCTGCACAGCGCACACTGCAAGTACATTCAAGTTAATAAACCAGTCCAATGTAGAGCCTATGCTTTACAATTGAAAAGCTGTGCAATGCATTAAGAAAAAAATCTTTGCATCCAAGCTGTTCCCTAATGTTTATTTATCTATTTATTTATTTGACAAAACTAAGTAAGTAAGTCTAAAACAACAACAAACCCTCCCTTGAATCTTTTTGGTCTTGTCACTGTCTCGAGGGAATGTATCTGTCCCTTGAAGAGAGTAGCCTATTCTCCAGTGTTTGTTGCTTCAGTTCAGCCTTTACATGAGTTACCGGAATGAATAGTATTTCATTTAGTATTCATTTTTATTATCTGTACATCTTTTTTTGCAGATTAGGCTACATAAATGTAAAACGGGGGGCTTTTGTTGCACTTGCAGTGGTGTGGTGAGTGTGGTTGTCCTCTGTTCTGCACCACTGTCTGTCTCTCCTCCACCTGCGGATGAACACAATGTGCCACAAACACGAGACCTTTACAGTAAGCTGAAATCAAACGAGTTTTTGATGAAAAAAGCAAAAAAAAACCAGTGTCATACTGATTTTTTGCTGTCGTATATGGTGTGTTGTGTTTTGCCGCAGGTGGGGCTTAGCTCCTGCTCTAACACACACGTTAGCTGAGTAGTGAAGAAAAAG